CCGTGTCTCCTCCATCAGACTGGGAGCTCCCAGTGTCAGGAGCCATGTTTCCTCCATCAGCCTGAGCATCCCCTCTCAGAGGTCTGAAAGGCCATGTCCCTAAGGCAGGTTTCACCCATTAGACCAGGAGCTCTTAGACACTGTGGACCGGGTCATTCCCCAGGCTGGAGTTTTGCCTCCCCCATCAGACCAGGCACTCTCAGAAGCTGTGTGCCTGAGTCAGGGACAGTGTCCCCCACCCTCAGACTTGAAGCTTCCAGGATCAGGGACCCAATCATTGGTAGATACCCCTAGACACCCTCTTTTCCATTCACTCATCAAATCCTAGTTTTCTGAATCAATGTTGTGGGGAGAATGCTGTCCAGTGACAGCAGGCCACCCCTGGTGAAGCCTTGGAATTCCCTTTCACCTGTCTCTCTTCTCACAGTCAACCTCCCTCCCTCGCATGAAGACCAACGCCACCTTCCTGAACCTGAACCTGGCACAGGCTGAGCGTGGGGCGGGTGGGGTCGCCGGGATGCTGGGGCTGGGCCGGGGAGCAGGAGGGATGGGGGCACTGGGGACATGGTCCTCTACCTCCCTGACTGTCTCCTCTGCCCCTTTGCCCCATCCTCCCCCACAGCCATGGAGTAGCAGCATGGCCCTGGAGACCTCCGGAGAGAAGAGCTCTTTGCACCATCCTCCCCATCTCCTCTCCCTGAGTGGAGGATCGCCGTCGTCCTACTCCTCTGTTCTCCTGCTTCCACACTAGAGTTAAAGCCGACAGGGCCCTGCTCCTTCGCTGAGCTGTCAGAGAGTCACAGAGGCCATAAACATCCTGGTTAACACAAGTGTGTGTCAGCCTCTCCTTCCATCACTGCCAACTCTGCCATTGCCTGGTAGCCTGCTTTGCTTCCTTTCCCAAGAGTATCCTCAGTCCGGTTGCATGCATGCCCAGGGATGCCCAAACCAGGGTCCTGCAAGCCCCCACTGCTTAATGTCAGGGTCTCAGGCCCTTCCCACGTCTATCCAGGTTATATCTGAGGGTCCTGCCTCCCAGTGGGCCAAGGACTGCCCCTCCCTGGGACATCAAACAGAGCTGGGTTCTGTAGGACATCGCCCTCCCCTATGCTGTACTGAGCTCACTTCATACACTGAAGCAAAGCTGCTTGTGCACAGAACAGGGAATAACCACATTTTTCAGAAAGAGTTCTAGTACTTTCTGGCCCTCATCCATTTAACCAAAGACGTGCCTTCGTGTCCTCCATTGTCCTCAGGTCCCACCCCAACCCCAGGTGGCTCTCAAACATCACCTGCACACTAAAAACATCTCCCTCCTCCTCTAGCCACAAAAAAGGCCCTGTGAATAATGAATAGAAATAGGACAGGAGTGGGGAGAAGGGATGGAGATGGGGGAGTGGGAACCAGAGAGAGTGTGTCTTTGAACTCCTCTCACTAGCAGGGTCTGAGCCACAGCCTCCACCCAATGAAGATGCCCCACTAGAGACTCCTGGTCTTGATCAGAAGTGGTGATGGCAGACTCCAGTCTCGGGGTAGAGAGGGAGGTGTGGGCAGGAATGGGAAGGCCTTATAGAGAGATTTCCCAGAAACTTTCAAGACAACCTTTCTGAAGATGGCCATGTTGAGTTGGGATGGTAAGTGGTGAAAAACCCCCAAAATGAGGGTTATAGGATCTGGGTTATAATCCCACATTTGCCATGAATTTACTAAACCCTCAGTTTGTCCATCAGTAAAAAGGTGTGGACGTAAGGTAGACTAGAGTTTTCCAAACCATTTTATTAGTCTCAGAGCACTTTCTTCAAATGCAAGCTAACATGGTTGGTCAATATATTATTTAAAATAGCAATGCAATAAAATTAGGTATCAGTTCAAAAACTATAGCCCTCTCTTGCTCCAAATTTCTACACACTTGAAAACAATTCTTTAAATTTAAATAATACTTAAATGCAAAATACCAACCAGAATCAAATGGCAGTAAAAACATTATATATAGAAATCTGTGGGACATGGCCAAAGCTTCACTTCAAGGGAGAATGATAGCTTTAAAAACTTAAATGCGGGCCGGCCGAGTGGCGCGATGGTTAAGAATTCGCTTGGGATGCCAGAGGGCCCCGGTTCGGATCCCACATATGAGGGCCAGTGACACTGCCCTCTACAGCTAAGATGCTGAACAACAGCTCAACCTGGAGCTGGGCTGCCGTGAGTCGCCGGCGACGGCGTGGGCTGCAGTCCCTGTGGCAGTGGATTGCCATGGGCTACCGTGTGTGGCCAGCAGCCAGCGTGAGCGGCCAGCAGCCGCAGTGAGCAGCCGTCCAGAAGCCGGCGACTGATCTGCCTCGCCAGAGAAGAGCGCAATGATGGTGCCAACTTGGGCCAGTGAAGCAACATCCTCCACAACTAGATTGAAGAACAAAACGACAGCAACTTGTCTGTTCCCCTTTCCCCAATTCCCCAGCACTGTTCCCATCCCCCCAATTCCCCAATAAAAAAATCTTAAAAAAAAAAAACAAAAAAAAACTTAAATGCATTGAAAGTACTAAAAGAAAAAAACTTGAAAATGAACAAAATAAGCTTTCCACTCAAGAAATGAGAAAAAGTCCACAAAATAAACCAAAGAAAAAAGGTAAAGAAATGAGAAATGTAAAAGCAGAAATGGATGAAATATAAAACAAAATTAGAGTTGGTCAATAAAACTTAAATCTGGTTCTTTGAAATTGCCAGTGAAATAGACAAACTTTTTGCAAGTATGATGAGACAGAAGAGACTAATATATAAAGTAAGAGAAACTGGTCAGTTGAAGTAGAGGATCTCTCCTGGGTTAGATGCACAATAAATATATATTAAAGGAAGAGGGTGTGGCAGGTTCTATGGATTGCTCCCCAGTGATCACTCCCCTCTCCTCTTCCATGAGGGCAGGCACTACCTCCCATGAAAGAAGCTGAAAATGTCAGGTATTAACTTTCCCAGATTGCTTTGCAGCTATAGGTGTCCATGTGACCAATTCTGTCCAATGAATAAAAGAGAGAGCCAAAAGTCCTATCTACTGACGCCATTCTCCCCACCCTCCCGCCCCCTGCCCAGGGGGCACTAAGAATTTGGAAGCTATTACCTAAATCAGTCGTCTCAGATATGAGGTTTCCAGGCAATGGCACAGCTAGGAACTGAGGATGGATTTAAGCCCATACTCTTAAACCCAACACTATTCAGCTCCAAAATGGGAAAAAGCGTCCATAGTCTCCTCACCCCTTATAAGAGTTAGTGACATATATAGGGTTAGAGCCAAGGTATATCAGTTATACTTTCTCTTGCATGGCTAGTAGGAGAGACTGGAAATAACACAAGCAACAATGAGAAGACTAATATATAAGATAAAAAGAGGGCTGGCCAAGTGACTTGTTGGTTAAGAGTTGGCTTGGGACCCCAGCTCTGAGCAGCTGGGCCAGGTTTGGATCCCACATGCAGGCCAGTGATGCTGCGCCCTCTACAGCTAAGATGGTGAACAACAGCTCAACCTGGAGCTGGGCTGCCATGAGTCGCCGGCGACAGCATAGGCTGCAGCCCCTGCTGCAGTGGGCTGCCGTGAGCCACCGTGAGCAGCTGTCCAATGGCCGGCGACCAATCTGCCTCAGCCGGGAAGAGCGCAATGATCACAATACCAACATAGGCCATTGAAGCGGCGTCTTCCACAACTAGACTGAAGAACAAAAGGACAGCAACTTATCTGTTCCCCTTCCCCGATTCCCCAACGCTGCTTTCCTCCCCCAATTCCCCAACAAAATCTTTAAAAAATAAAAATAAAAAATAAGATAAAAAGAGAAACTGGTATATGTAAGGGTAGCTTGCATAGACAGAAGATTGTTTCTCTTTCACATAAAAAGTGCCCATAAACAGATTGTTCAGAGCTGGAATGGTGCCTCCCGGTGTCATTAGGGACACAGTTCTTTCCATCTTTCTGCTCCATCGTTCCTAGCTTGGGGCTTCCCAACTATGACCATCACCTGTGGTCCAAGATGGCTGCTGGAGCTGCAGCTGCCTCACCCATGTTCCATGCAGGCAGCAGAAAGAAGGGGACAAAGGGCAACAACAGCCCACACCAGTTTATGAACTGTGTCTCTTTTAAGAACCCTTCCCCAAAGTACCATCCTACAACTTCCACTTACATCTGATTAGCCAGTTCTTAATCATATGGTGACCCTAGCTGCAAGGGAGGCTGGGAAGTGGAGTCTTTTCCCTGGGTGTTCTTTGCTCCTCCAAAGAACATCAGGGAAGACAGAAAGAATCGATCCTAGGTGGGCAGCTGGCAGGCTCTGCCATGCCAGATCTTGGAACTCCTACCTCCCAAGCTGGACAAAAATGGCCTTTCTCATCTAAACCTAAATGGAAGGAGCCACAGTGACAGTAGCAAGGGATTGGGAAAGACTGGGGCTGTGTCCAGCGGAGGCTTAACTTTGTGCACTGCAGAATGAGGCCAGCGGGAGGGGCAAAGGGAGCAAAGGAGGAGGCAGCTCAGGTTTCTAGGTCAAACCAGATCCCATATCCTCAGGGTGTGGAAGCTCAGATGTCCCCCAAACCAAGTCTCCCATCCCTCTAGTCATCCCTGGGCTCCTTGACTGAATCCTCCAGGCTGTCCAATCCCCTCCTTTCACAGTCCAAGAACGAGCAACAACAATAACCACGAAATAATAATAGGTCCTGTATCTCCAGCATTGATTTTTGTCCTTTTGCATGAACCATCTCAATGAATTCCGGCAACAACCCTTGTGAGTAGTTACTGCCAGTTCCTCCATTTTACAGGTGAGGAAACTGAGGCACAGAGAGCTGAAAACCTTGCTCTGTGTCCCACAGTTCCCATGGCTGCTGGGAGAGGCGCTAGTTGGTGAGTCCCCTTTGTCCCTCAGTGGAGCAGGCGGTCAAGGGCACACACAGGCTTGTAGCCCAGACAGAGCTGAGTTGGCCACTTTTAGCTGTGGGCATATTGCTTTTGCTCACTTGTAAAACAGAGATAATAATGGTGCCAAACTCCTAGGATTGTTGAAAAGATTAAATGAGCCGTTACAAGTAAAGAATCTAGCACATAAGTGTTCAATAAAGCACTTTGACTCCCCCATTGAGGTGTTAGCTTTTGGCAACAGGCAGATGGAAAAGTCAAAAACAACAATTTTCTGCAATGCCTTCTTCCTGGAAGACTTAATTAGCCCTACCACACAGGTTTGGTTTGCCTCGTTTTATGTAATACATGATGTTCTTAAAAATAGTATTTGCTGGAAATGGCTTACAAGACAAAGTAATACATGCGTTTGAGCTTTTAGAATCACGATATTAATCATCTCAGGTTCAAGGATAATGTGCTCTGAGCACAGAGTCTCACATCCTCCCTTTGAACGGGGACCACTTTTCCTCAGTCTCCTAGCTGTTTATTAAAAAAATAACACATCCCAGGCCCCTGCCTGGAGCCAGGAAATCTCCAGGGAAGGGACCTGAAAGCAGAATTTTTAAAATAAATAGCCTGGGTGATTTTGTCAGTTGGGAAGCTGGGACACCCAGATGCAGAGACTAGCTGACAAAAAAAAAAAAAAAGAAAATTAAGCCCAAAGAGGAGGAAGTGACTTGCCCAAAGTCATTCAGTCAGGAAGGGGCAGGGCCAGGAATTAGCCCAGAGGGGCAGGAACCGGCTCAGGATTACACAGCAGGTTTCATGCTGAGGGCTGAGACTAGGACTCTCTTTTGCCCCAGGCGGTTGATAGCAGCTCCCCCAACCCCAACACCACAAAGCTGCATGGCGAGTGGGGCCCTCAGAATCTACTAGCCGTGAGGGGAGCTAGTCCAGGCC